ATAAATATTCCCACGAGAAATGAGGATGAGGGCAAAATCTACCTCCATAAAAAATCCTCACAAGCATTTCCATCCTCGTTATTCGTGGGGATAAAAAGGGAAAAAAACTTTTCGATTTCACAGAGTTCGTTAACATCCCTAAATACACGTGATCTGAACCTCATAAAAGTTCAGTTTCCCATGTGTGTCTTTTTTTTTTTTTTTTGACCAGGTAGATGGTTAGGAAGTTAGTAGAGTTAGTTTGTTAGCAGCTGAAATTTTATCAGGAAAGTGAACGTTCCACCCCCTCATTTAAGGCGCGCGACCATTAGGTCGCAAGTTGATAGAGTTTACGGCAGTGGTAGAGCTCGAAACCCTGACCTCTGCCTCACCCAAACCCTAAAACTTGGGGGCCAACCAATTGGGCCACAGGCCCCGGTTGGTGTCCTTTTTTTGTTTTACATGAAAAATTTTGAAAAATAAAGAATTTTTTCTTAAAATTGTTAAAAAAATTAAATTTTTAATTAATTAAATCCACATATTAAGGGTTGAAGATGAATCGTTGTATCCGGATGCCCGTTCCCCACGTGGTATTTGCACCTTTTTATGTAGATCTAATCTAACGAAGGCATGAGCAACTGGGGCAGAATCAGCAATGTTTTTCAATATCTATTAACCGATCAACACATTAATTACAATACAAACAATTCACGTACTTAAGAGGTGTTTATTTTAATTTTTTTTATAAATAAATTAAATATTTTAAATTATAACTAATAATAATTATTAATTATTATATATCAACTATCCATTATTAATTCTATAAAAAAATTAATTCAAACAGTCCTTTATAAGGCAAGATTATATATGTTTGCAGTTGCCTTATGATTAGGCCAATGTTATATTGGCCGTACGTAAACTTGTTAGACAAATCAATTCATAATGAAAAAGACAAGGATGTTGAGGTTTTACAACTTTCAGATTGTGGTTCTACTGTTGCATATAATTAGTTTTCTTTAAATCCCTTTTAGATTATATATTAAAAAAGTTTTTTGTTATTTAAACCATATTAAATTATAAAATATTAATTTATAAATAAGATGAGGGGCCTTGTTTTTTTTTAAGAATCTCTATTTTACTGTTTAAAACTATCTAAACTATAAAATAATAGATTTATTATAAATTTATAGTTAATTGTTGTGATTTTTAATGTATATACTTGTATTTACTTGTTTCAAAAAAAAAAAAAAAAAACCCCCACCTGCTTACCCAATCGGAGCCCATTTATTTGCTTAGAATTTTTTTTTAATTTTTTTCAGACGCATTTAAAAATAAAAAATTATCACATTCCTAAGCTTAGAGGAGTGCAATGTGTCCAAGGGCACATGCACATCTCCTCCCATTAGTTCTCTCTATTTTTTTATTTTTTATTTTTATTTTTATAAAATAAAATATTGCACTCATTCCAACCACAGCCTAAGTTCCTCTCAGCATTTCTACTTAAGCTTAACACACATAATACACTTTAATAAAAGTAATAATACAAGTTTTAGTTTCTAACCCTTTTGATAAAAACTTCTAAAAAACTTACACTTACACGACCTCTTTTGAAAATTTTGTTTAATTCAACTTTAACTTCTGCAACAACGTTCAGAAACTAAGCAAGAGACATAAAGGCTTTGGTGAACATTGGTGACAAGTACTGTAGTACGGAGTGAAAACCACGGCACCATTTTGAGGTCCGCCCCTCTCATAAATTGCTTGGATCCATCCATCATGCCATTATTGGACTTTGTCCCAGCATGTCATGTGCATTCTTTGACTAAACACATGGCTATGCAACTCACTCTTCCAAAAATAATTTCACATTGAAGATGCATGCATACAAAATTATACAGCACAGAAACAAATATGACAGACAATTTGAGAGCGAAAGGAAAAAGCTAAGATCTCACAATCTTTCTTTTTTTTCTTTATTAATCTCTTAGTACTCATAAATTACATTGAAAATCTTATTTAAAGAAAACTAAATTCCTTTAATTAGAATTAATAAGTCATTGATCTCACAATCTTATTTCATTTATTGTAATTTTACTTTAATTATAATTGAATATTTTCCCTTTTAAGAATCTGATGATTTAAATATGTATTACTTGGTTTAATAATAATATGGTTTGGCTATTGTGAGGAAGGAATTTTCAGAATGACAGGGTACCACTGGTAATGTTATACTTATAAGGGACTTTTTGTTGATAAAAAAAAATGTTATGAGGGATTTTCTAACTTACATTCTTAAAATATAGATTAAGTTTCATTAATTATGGTATTTATAATTAATTTTGTATAAGTTTTTATATAAAATTTAAAATATAATATAATATAATATAATATAATATTTGTACTCAAAATTTGTAAAAAATTATAGATATGATACAAAATTTTTTTGTAAAATTAATTAAAGATATATTAATTAATGAGTCTTAGTTTATGCCCTAGAGTATAAGTTAGATAAATTCTAGTTATAATACTATTTAAAATTGTAAAATTATAATTATAATATAGTATTAAGTAAGTATAATTTGAGATTAAACAACTATATATATAATATTAATGGTGAATTTTGATTAAAAAATTAATTATTTAATAATACACTATACTATATACTTATAATATATAATATTATAATTATAACATTTTTATTTAATAAATAATATATTACAATTATAAGCTTATGATTTCCTTAAGAATTTAAGTGAAGCATACTTCACTTTGTCTCAAAACCAAGTAAAGCCCAACTTCAGGAGTCCAATCAAGTCCGTTTATATTTTCAATTTTCAAATTTGCCCCCCGTATGGTCTTTTGAGATCTATCCGACTACGAGGGAGACACGGGCACATTCTCATTCTGACTGAATCTCTTCCTCGGAGTCGGAGAACTTCCCTTGCTCTCCCCTGCAACAATGCCGAGCACAGATGCAGACTTCGATCTCAGAGTACCATTTCTCTTCCCAAAACCCTAACAATTATGCTTCATTTTCTTCATTTCTCCTAACTAACATTTTCTTCTTCCTCTGCACAGCAGTCTCCACAGTCCGCCTTCTCTATGGGGTCAGTCGTCCGCCTCCATTTCTAGGGTTTATCCACAGAAACTGTTGATAAATGTATTTTTGATGTCTTTTTCCTTCTTTTTATTTAATTTGTTTGGTTTCAGAGATTACACATTCGCCGATGCCGGAAACTTGGAGCATTGTGCTAAGTACTTGAATCAAACGCTCGTCACATTTGGCTTTCCCTCTTCGCTTGATCTGTTTGCTAATGATCCTGTGTGTTTTCTTTTCCTTCTTTTTTTTTTTTTTTTTTTT